TGTTTGGGTTTTATGGAGCATCCCACAAATCTGTGCCACTGGGCACGATTAAACTGGGCACCAGCAATGCCAGTTAACCCTGGATTTCCTGCACTCCTTCTCCTGTGCCAAGCTTTGGGGGTTCAAAACATTCCCACCCCTTTTTCCCTGGGTTTGTGGGCTGGCTTTCAGCCTGGGCTGGGATGAAGGGAGCCAGGGTAGAGCTGCTTCTCTGCTTGCTCATCTGTGGGTTTGTTTTTTAGTATTTCTTGAGGGGAACTTGCTGTTGGGAGGGTGGAGGGGAGGAAGAGGAAGGCTTTGATACCCCAGAGTCTGCAGGAATAAGGTTTTCAGTCGACTGTAGGGAACTGTTTTGATTGCAAGGATGGCAAATGTTTGATGTGTTATAAATAGGGCTGACTGCGGTGGAAAAAAGAAAGCGAGTTTAAAAAAAAAACCCTGATTTTTGGGTTTCTCTTGGTGTGTTTTGCTTGTTTGAGGCTGAGGGAATTAGGGATAATTTTCTGTTTTAAAATATTTAAAGGCTGGAGAGCAAAATATCAAAATGAGGTCTGTGAAATCCCGTGGGGAAGCTGGTGATTAGCAGAGAATAACACAGACTTGGGCTCCCTCATCCATGAGCTGGGCAGATGAGACCTTCAGGGTGGGTGTGCTGGAATCTGCCCTTCTGCAGCTTTCAAGGAGCTCCTCAGCTGGGGAAGTTTGGCTGCTGGCACCTTCCCAGGTTTATCAGGGGTTTTACTGATGGTGCAGCCCAAAAATCACCTTTTATTCTCCACGTCTATCCCACCTCTCCACCTGGAATGATGCAGGAATTCCTCAGCTGGGACTGCCCAGCTCTGCTCCCAGAATCTCTCCTGATCCTCCCTGCTCCTGAATGTCCCCAGGCACATCCCAGCCAGGCTCCAGGAGCTGGGGGCAGCTGAGCAGCATTCCCTGTTCCTTCCCAGCCCTGTGCACCCCTCCTTGCCCCTCTCCATGCACACACACCATCCCTGCCTCTCCCCTGGCTCTTCCCAACAATGCTCCTTTCATTCCCAAGATCTTCCCCCACAGGGGAAGTCGGGATTGTTCCCATTCCCACGCCCCTGCCAAGGGATCTGAAGGGATCCCCTGAGCTCCAGAATGAAGCTGTGGAGTGAGGCTGGAGCAGCCTTGGGTGGAGAGGGGCTGTGCCCAACCCCTGTGGATGAGCCTGCCAAGGAATCTGCCGAGGGATCTGCCAAGGACTCTGCCAGGGGATCTGCCAAGGACTGTGCCAAGGGATCTGCCGGGGGATCTGCCAAGGACTCTGCCAGGGGATCTGCCAAGGACTGTGCCAAGGGATCTGCCGGGGGATCTGCCAAGGACTCTGCCAGGGGATCTGCCAAGGACTGTGCCAAGGGATCTGCCAAGGGATCTGCCAAGGAATCTGAAGGAATCCTGTGAGCTCCAGAATGAAGCTGTGGAGTGGGGCTGGAGCAGCCTTGGGTGGAGAGGGGCTGTGTCCAACCCTGTGGATGAGCCTGCCAAGGGATCTGAAGGAATCTGCTGAGGGATCTGCCAAGGGATCTCAAGGGCTCTGCCAAGGAATCTGCCAAGGGATCTGCCAAGGAACCTTCCAAGGACTCTGCCAAGGACTCTGCCAGGGGATCTGCCAAGGAATCTGAAGGAATCTCCTGAGCTCCGGAATGAAGCTGTGGAGCAGCCTTGGCTGGAGAGGGCTGTGTCCCACCCCTGTGATGAGCTCTCCTGAGGATGAGCCTGGCTGGAAGCTGAGCTGCTGGGAATGCTCCCTGCCCGCCAGGACCCGAGGCAGCTCCCTGTGCTCCCATCTCAGGCTGGAGCAATCTGGGGCACGTTTCATGCTGCATTAAAAGTGAGGGCTGAGCTCCTGGCTCCTCAGCTGGCCTGCACGGGCTGCCCCAGCCCTCACCTCCCTTGCAGGACCTGTGGGTGGCATTCCAGGTGAAATATCTGCCAGGAGCAGCCAAGTGGGAGCAGATTGTATCTGCCCAGTGCCAGCTGCAGCGCCCTGGGCCAATATTTGCTCTGGGAGGTGTTTGGCCAAAGGCTCCCAGGGTGAACCCCTTGCATGTTTCCCATCCACAAACCAGGGAGGCCAGACTTGTTCTGCTCTTCCACACCCAGGGAATGGTGGGGTTGGTTTTTAACCATTGCCATGTCTGCTCGTGCCATCCTTTCCCAGTCTGGCTTCAGGAGAGGTGAGATCCCAGCTGGGGGAGCAGGGATGTATCCCAAGCCTTCTCCTGGCTGCTCAGGAAATCAAAAGGCAGAAAAATTGTCAGCACATCCTCCAAAAAGCCCCATAGCTGCTTCCTGGGGGAAGGGCAGCTGGAATCTGCAGCGCCAGCATTCCTCCAGCTGCCTTCCAGCTCCCTTAGGCCAAGCAATGTATGGATAAACCCTTCCTTCCTTCCTTCCATGGATCCTGGAGAGGCCAGTGCTTCCCAGAGGAAGGCAGGCACCCCTTCCCATCCTTCCCATCCTTCCCATCCTTCCCATCCTTCCCAGGCCCTCTGGGGGCAGCACTATGGGATGCACCATGGGATGCACTTTGGAATTTTGGCTCCCTGAGTGTGCTGAGGCTCCAGGTTACACAAGGAGCTAGTGACAGCTCCTCCAGGCTCGTGTCTGGGGGGTGTGTGTGGGTTTGTGTCCCTTCCTGAGGGCTTTGGGGGTGTGGGGATGGAGTCCCTCCCCCTCTCCTCCCACTGACGCCTCCCAGTTTAATTAGAGCCAGCAGGGAGAGAACCTCAATCTTATTATTCCCTCCCAGCAGGGCAGCAGCAGCCTTTCTTGGACGTCAAAGGGAGGATTAAATTAGTCTGGAAATGAGGGGGGTTTGCTTCCTTCACTTCTCTGGGCTCTCCAGAGGGTGTGGAGCCTCCGGAATCGCTGTGCTGATGGATTCTGCCAGCCTGGCACACGGGGCCCTCACAGCAGAGTCCTGGCAGGGGTTATTTACAGCTTCCCAGCCACAAATCCGGGGAGAAAAGTGGGGTTGGAAGTGCTTGGGATGGCTGCACCCTTCCCAGGTGTGTTAGGGACAGAGCAGGCCCCCGGGGCTGCGAGCTGGGTGGGAGGGATCCCGTTCTGGCTGTGGGATTCTTGGCAGGGCCAGGGGGTGGCAGCTGGGGCAGAGCTGTGCCCTGCTGAGCTTGTCCTGGCAGGCCTGGCACTGCTCCTGGGACCTTCTCCAGGCTCGAGAGAAGAGCGTGCCTGCCCAGCTCGGGGCTGGGGTGTGTGCTGGCATGGAGCAGGCGTCCAAGGAGAGCAGGAAATCACACTCGGATGGCTTCTGGGCAGCTGGGGGTGATGGGATCCCCTGGAGCTGCTTCTGAGGGCTGGCAGGGCATGGCACAGCAGGGTTTGGGGAGCATGGAGTGAGCAGGAAATAAGAGCAGGGAATGGGGAGCAGAGATTGCCCAGCCTGGTGCACTGGGCAGGGCAGTCTGTGCCTGTGTCCCTTATCAGAGGGTTAAAGTAGGAGAGTGAAATGCAGAGCTGGGTGAACCAAGAGACTTTTCCTTTTCCTTTTCCTTTTCCCTTTCCCCTTCCCTTCCCTTCCCTTCCCTTCCCTTCCCTTCCCTTCCCTTCTCATTTTTCCCTTCCCTGTGGCTGCTTTGGTGTCTCCAGGTGCTTCTGAACCTGGATAATTCCCTAAAGGGATCCCTCCCCCTTTTTCTCAGAAAACATCCAGCCCCATTTTGTATCCTCATGGGAGCAGGAGTGTTCCTGAGGAAGAAAGCCTCGATAAAAATCAAATATTTGATGTTGGAGTAAACAAACCCGATTGTTCCTTCAGATCTGGAGTTTTCAGCACAAACAGAGGAATCCTGGCAATGCCCCGGGGCAGGCGTGGAACCCTGGCAGCCTGTGCCAGGTTTCCCAGACCACTTTGGATGTCTGCATGGGGAATTTGCTGTTGTTTGGAGCAAAATAATCACGAATTGCTCCCCACAGCTCCCTGACAGGAGGGTGGAGCCAGGTGGGGGTCGGGCTCTGCTCCCAGGGAACAGCAGGACAAGAGGAAACGGCCTCAAGTTGCACCAGGGAAGGTTTAGATTGGAAATCAGGGAAAATTTGTTCATGGAAAGGGTGGCAAGGCATTGTCACAGCTGCCCAGAGCAGTGCTGAGTCCCCATCCCTGGAGGTGTCCAAAACTCACAGAGATGTGGCACAGGGGACATGGGTTAGAGGTGACCGTGGTCAGACTCCGTGGTCTTGGAGGTCTTTTCCAGCCTCAGCCATTCCATGGTTCCAGTTTTGGCCAATTCCCGTGTCCTGCATCCCCGGGCAGTTCAGGGGCTGGGAAGGGAACATTTTCCTGCCTGGGCTGCAGGGAAGGACATTCTGGGGGGGTTCCTGGGGGCACTGGTCACCCCTGGGCAGGGATCGCTGCGGGTCAGGGACTGGGCTGTTCTTGGACCGAGGAATCCCCTCAAGAAGCTGCTGAGCCTTCCCATAAAAATGAGCCCTGACTTCCCAGCTTGTCAAACATCTCTGACAAAGGATTGCAGCCCCTTGGCCCAGATGCTGAGCTGCTGCAGCAGTTGCAGAGTGGTGGCTGTGCTCTCCCCCTGCTCTCCCCAGGCTCTGCTGTGCTGCCTGCTGGGAGCTGAGTGTGTTCATTCCCTGTTTACTTGAATTTTGCTGTGTGTGAAACTCAGTCCTTGGCTCCAAATGGAGCTGAGAGACGTTTGTGCTGCTTGTTTTTTCCAGCAGGCGTTGGAGTTGGAGCCGTGGGCTGGGATTTAGGGAGCTGTGGAGCTCCTGGTGGGTGAGGAACGTCCTGACTGAGCCAAGCTTTGGGTGCTGGGGGATGTTTGGGGGTTTGCTGGGGTCTTTTTGAGGGGCTCTGGGCTGTTCTGCTGCCTCCTTTCTCTTGCAGGTGCTGTGTGGACCATCCCTGTTCCCATTCTGTCCCAGGGAATTCCTCCTTGGGGTGGGAAGGTTCAGTCAGAGCCTGATCCTCCTCCCTTGTCCTTTCTCCACAGCTGGTCAGCGAGAAGGTCGGAGGGGCCGAAGGGACCAAGTTAGATGATGACTTCAAGGAGATGGAAAAGGTGAGTGGGGAGCCAGAGGAATCCCCCAAATCACCCCGTGGCTCCTGTGGGATTGGCTGAATCCTTGAGTTGATCCTCGCTGGGCTCTTGTCTCTCCTGCAGAAAGTGGACGTGACCAGCAAGGCTGTCACAGAAGTACTGACCAGAACCATAGAGTACCTCCAGCCCAACCCAGGTGAGGGCCTGCCCCTCCCTGTCCCCTTCCCAGCTTTCCAGGCAGATCAGGGAGATCCCTTTTGCTCTGGATTTGGATCGGGGGAGATCTGGGTACCCCTCTTGCCCTGAATCCACGCTGCTGAGCAGGGACAGAACACATGCAGCTTTTGCCTCAGACTTAGAGAGGCCCTAAAGGGACCCGTTTTTCTCAGAATGTCCAGGAAAAGTGGTGGTTTTGGGCTGGGAAGGGGTGGCTGGCTCTGTCAGTCCTGCATCCTTCCAGCCAGCTGCTCCAGAGAGCACTCCAGGGACCCTGGGAGGGCTGGGGAAACTCCTTTGGCCTTCCCTGGCCAAGCAGTGGGGAGCTATTTTTGCTTTGTGCCTTGGCAAAGAACCTTTTCTTGTAGCAAGGGATATTCCTGGGGGATGGAGACAATGGGGCCTCTTGGCTGTGGGTGTAGCAGAGGGGGGAAAAAACCTGCTGAGGAATGCAGGGGTGGCAGGGGCTGAGGTGTTTGTGTGGCAGCTTCCAGAGCCAAGCTCACCATGCTCAACACGATGTCCAAGATCCGCGGGCAGGTGAAGAACCCCGGCTACCCCCAGTCTGAGGGGCTGCTGGGGGAGTGCATGATCCGCTATGGGAAGGAGCTGGGAGAGGATTCCAACTTTGGTGAGTGCCCCCTGGGCCTGGGGGGGGCAGCGGGGCAGGCTCCTGATTCGCTTCTGGGGTGGCACTCTGAATTCTGGAAGGGTTTGGGTGAACTGAACAATGTGTGGGGCTTAAAAGGGGTTCAGAAACTTCCAGAGTGAGCAGATTGCAAGGGAAAGAGAGGAAGTTTAGGTGGGATATTGGAAAAAATTCCTGCCTGTGAGGAGGGTGAGGCCCTGGCACAGGGTGCCCAGAGCAGCTGTGGCTATCCCTGGAGCAGCCTGGGGTAGTGGAAGGTGAAATTGGATGGGCTTTAAAGTCTTCCCATCCCAAACCACTCTGTTATTCTGTGATCCCAGGTATCCTGGATCTCAATCCACTTCCTTATTAAACACTGAGATAAATTTGCACATGAAATAAAAACCTCCCTCTAAACTGAGCAGCAAAGCAGGAATGGGATGGAGCAGGACTGGGAGTTTCACACAACTCTTAAGGATCCCTTCCAACCCAAACCTTGCTGGGATTCCATAGGGAGGCTGAAGCCAAGAAATCTTCTGGCTGTTCCTTGGAGCCACGTGTGACTGGCAGGGAGGAGGGGGTGAAGCCTTTTGGTGACATCAGTTTTAATCCCCTGCAGCCTCGGCCAGGCACGTGATGGCCCCCTGGCAGCACAGCTGGCTCTGCCAGGCCAGGGAGGAGCTGCCTTGCCTCAGGAAAATTAAAAACCTCTGGCTGCCTTTGGGACTGACAGAGGATTTTGGAGATCCTCCCTGGCCAGCTCAGAGCTCTGCATCAATCCTGGCTCACAAGGACTGAGGAGAGCAAGGGAAGGAAGCTTTGAGGAGAGCACACTGAGCTCTATTTCCTTAATGGTCTCCTTAAAGCAGCATTGAGGACTCCATCCCTCCCTTCCAGCTTTTTCAGAGTTATTACAATTGAAATAACACTTCTGGTCTATTGATTTTTCCAGCTGGACAGTGGAGAGATGTTTTCCCTTGACCCTCTCTCTCACTCATGTATTTTCCTGTGTTCACGCTCTGCTGAAATTGTTGTTTTGCCAAAGCTGCACAGGAATCATTTCATCTCTAAATGCTTCCTCTGCACTAAAAAGCCAGCACTGAATATGCTTTGCTGCAAGTCTGCCTGGCTTCAGAGTCAGAGTGGCCAGAGCCTTAGAAAAGGCTGGAACTGAGCAGGCTCCAGTGAGTGCCTTTGAGCTCTGGGGCTGTCCAAGGCCAGCTTGGAGCACCCTGGGACCAGATGGGCTTTAGGGTCCTTCCAACCCAAACCACTCCACGATTATGGGACACACAAGGGCTTCCAGCTGAGAAGGAAGGAGGAAGGGGTCTGAGGCAGATCTCTGGGGCTCAGGCTGTGTTTAATTGCTGTCCCTGTCCCTGCAGGGGACGCGCTCCTCGACGCCGGCGAATCCATGAAGCGCCTGGCGGAGGTGAAGGACTCGCTGGACATCGAGGTCAAACAAAACTTCATCGACCCCCTGCAGAACCTGTGTGACAAGGACCTGAAAGAGATCCAGGTAAACCCCCCTGTGGTTTGCTCTGCCCCTCGTCTCCCTGCTCTCTGGGCTCTTTGGCTGTTGGGGCACCGAGCTGCCTGCTCTGGAGTGCTGGGAGCCTGGGGCTGGCAGGAATTGCCTGCACTCTGTGTGTTTTCTCCCTCCAGACTCTCTGGTATTTCCTCCCTGCTCAGTGCTGCTCCCGAGCAGCCCAAAAGGCTGAGTGCAGCTTGGAATGGTTCTCCATTTGCCATGTTTGATGGAGGGTGCCATGGGAATACATCCCAACACCCCTTCTGGGCTTGCTGAATTGGGTTCTTAGTGCTGTGAGCTCCCAGATGGGATCAATTTGGGCTCCAGGCTCTGAGCAAGCTCCCCTCAGCATCCCGAGGAACCCTCTGGGGTCTCCCTGGGAGAACAGGGAGCTCAGCAGCTCCTGTGTGCTGCACACAGACAAGTGCAGGCCCTGTAACAGGATCCATCCCAGCCTCCAATTCCCCAGGCCAGTCTCCTGAGGGAGTTTTCACTGTCAGTGCTGTCCTGGGTGAAATAACCACCAAGTTCTGCCTCAGTGCCTGTCTGTACTCAGCTCCATGGGGCTACTTTAAACATCCCTGCCCTAAGACCAGGAGTGCAGTGGCCAGAACCCACATTCCTGCTGTCCAGAGATCCCTGCAGCTCCTGGGGAGCTGAAAGGAGCAGCACAGCTCTTCACCTTCCCAAAAAGCTCCTGTGGGGAGCACACCTGGGCTGCTCTGCAGCCTTTTCCTCAGAGGAAGGGGTCTGGACTCATTCCCCCATCACACCCCGGGGCCTCTCTCCCACCTGGAGCAAAGGTGGGAGCCACAGGAGATCAGGTTTCTGACACCAATAAACTCAGCCTGTAACTGGAGCTGCCCTCACAAGCCTCTGGCTTTTCCCTCTTCCCTGTCCTGTCCATCCTCCCCCAGCACCACCTGAAGAAGCTGGAGGGGAGGCGCCTGGACTTCGACTACAAGAAGAAGCGCCAGGGCAAGATCCCTGATGAGGAGCTGAGGCAGGCCATGGAGAAGTTTGAGGAGTCCAAGGAAGTGGCAGAGACCAGCATGCACAACCTCCTGGAGACAGATGTGAGTGTGGGAGAGCACAGCTGGGGTGGGATCTCCTGGGGGAGGCAGTGATTGCACACCAATTTCCACTCCTGAGTGGGAGAGCCCAGAGCTGATGTGATACACCTCTGCTCAGCCCCTGACCCAGCTCTTGCCTGGCACCAAACAGGCTCTTTTTGGGGTGCTGGCGGGATCATTTTGGGAGGTAACCCAGCTGGGAAGGGCTTGGGAAGGATTTCCCAGCTGGCAAACCCAGAGTGGCAGGAAATGGGCTCTGTCCTGGCAGTCTCAGCCAAATCCCAGAGCTCCTCCTGGGCTCCCCAGGGCAGAGCAGGGATGCCCAGCTGGGGGCAGGTGCTGATCCCATCCTGGTGTTGCCCAGATCGAGCAGGTGAGCCAGCTGTCAGCCCTGGTGGACGCCCAGCTGGATTACCACAGGCAGGCTGTGCAGATCCTGGACGAGCTGGCCGAGAAGCTCAAGCGCAGGTGAGTCCCCGTGGCTCCTCTGGGAACACCCGAGTCCCCCTTGGAGTCACAGAGTCCCACAAGGGATGGGCTTGGAAGGGACCTTGGGGCCCACAGAGCAGGGACACCTCCCACTGCCCCAGGCTGCTCTGAGCCCTGTCCAGCCTGGTCTTGAAAAAGCCAAATTCTTTGGCTGTTCGAGGTGGGATTTGAATTTAGTTGGGTGTCTGATCCAGCCCAAATCCTGGCTGAGGAAGGCTCGTGCCACCTCTCCTTCCTCAGCCTCCCCACTCTGGGGAGGATCTGGCAGTGCTGCCCTGCTGCTCTTCCCTCCTGGGGAAACTGCAGAGTGGATCCTGAACTGGGAGGAGCTGGGAGGGCCCTGCCAAGTCTGAGCTTTCAAACTACAGCACGAGTGTCCTCTGCTGGCCTGAATTCCTCAGCATTCCATAGCGAAACCTGGGATGTGGGGGCCCTTTCCAAAGGCAGATCCCAAACCCTGGGCAAATCCCACCCTCCAAAGGCTGCAGCACAGGGACTTGAGCAGATCCCTGTCTCCAAACCCTTTCCTGCCCTGTGCAGCCCCCCAGGAGGATAAACACCGTGCTGTTCCATTCCTCACTGCACTTGCCCACGTTTCCTTTCCCTGTCCCAGGATGAGGGAGGCCTCCTCACGCCCCAAGAGGGAATACAAACCCAAGCCCAGGGAGACGTACGACTTCAGGGAGCCTGACCAGTCCAACGGGGGCTTCTCCTGCAACCCCACCCCCAAAGTCTCAGGTAACGTTGTCCCAGGTGTTCACTGGTGCCTCTGGAGCAGCCTCCCAGGGAAGCAGGGCTGCTCTGCCTGCACAGGATGTTCCTGCTGGGCTGGATGCTCCTGCACGAGCCCGTGGCTCTGGAAAACATCAGGAATGCCTCCAGATCGGGCTCTTTTCTCCTGGGACCCAGGAGCCTTTGCTGTGTTGGCTTTGGGGATGTGCCAGAGGGGTCTCCAGCCTGGGCCTCTCGCTGTCAGTGCCAGACAGGAAAACTGAAGCCTCCCTCCCTCCCTCCCTTCCTCCCTTCCTTCCTCCCTCCCTCCTCATCTTCCATCCCGCTGCATCCCTCCCTCCCTCCCTGATCCTGGCGGGTTCCTAACAGCATGGGGGCCCTGCTGTTTCTCCTGAGAGATCCTCTGGGCCCTGCCTGTCCCTGCCTCCCGTTGGTTTAAGCATGTTTCTCTTTTGTTTGGAAGCAGCTTCCGCCTCTTTCCGGTCGGACAAGCCGTCCCGGGCCTCCGTCAGGAGTATCCGTGAGTTTCCTCCCTCTGCACTGCTCCCTGTGTGGCCTCTCCCCGTCCCTCCTGGCTGCTCCTCCCTGCTGCTCCTTGGAGCTGCTCATCCCTCCGTGCTGAGCCTCAGCTGAGCCCTGCATTAACCCAGCCACGCTCCAGTGGGAATTTGCAGCCCCAAAAGCGGGGCCTGGCTCACCCGGAGGAGCTGCAGCAGCTCCCAGCACCCAGGCATGTCCTGATCCCTGGGGATCAGTGCTTTCCCTGAGAACAACACACACCTCAAGGATTTCCCTGCTCTTCCAAGCACCCAGCCTGGATCTCTCCCACTCCTGCTCCCCCTGTCCCTGTGGAAGGCTGGAGGGAGGAGGCAGAGCCTCAGCTCGTGGAGTTGGTGGGCTGATGTGGGGTCTGTGGCTCCTCCTGCAGGACCTTGGGATCTCAGGGCTGGGCTGGGGCTTGGTTGGAGCTGTTGTGCTGGGAAGGAGCCTGGAGCAGGGCCGTGGTGGTGGGGCCAGCCTGGTGGTTTGGGGAGCTCTCTCCAACCCATCCATGTCTGGCTGCTGCTTGTGGTGATCTCTGAGTGCTCTTCCCATGCTGGGCCCTCCCTTGCTGTGGGTCCTGGAATCATGGAGTGGTTTGGGTTGGGAGGGACCTTCAAGACCATCTCGTTCCACCCCTGCCATGGGCAGGGACACCTTCCCCTGTCCCAGGCTGCCCCCAGCCCTGTGCAGCCTGGCCTTGGGACAGCCCCAGCACAGTGGGGAGGGCTGGGGGGTCCTGCAGGCCCTGGAGGTCTCTCTCAGCTCTGTCCCTTCCCACTGGGATTCTCCCAGCTCCAAAGCTGAGTCCCAAAATGTCAGCGCACAGAGTGAGCAGCAGGAAATCCCACAGAAAATCCCTTTGCAGCCAAAAGCTGATGCTTAAATCCTGGAGCTGTTTGGGGAGCAAGATTTTGGGCTTCTCCTGAGTTTTGAGGGGCTGCTCATGGACTTGAAGCCCCGTGGCCAGGGCAGGCAGCTGCTGTCCTGTCCCTCCTGTCACCCTCAGGTGTGGGGTCACCCCTCCAGAGTCCCCCTCCATGTCCAACCCCACCACTGAGCCCCAGGGCAGGTTCTGAGCTCTCTGAGGGATAACGTGCCTTGACTGCCATGCGTGTGCCTTGACTGCCATGCGTGTGCCTTGTCTGCCATGCGTGTGCCTTGTCTGCCATGCGTGTGCCTTGTCTGCCATGCGTGTGCCTTGCCTGCCATCCTGCTGGGGCTGGAGTGCAGGAGGTGCAGGCAGGAGCAGCACAGGGCTCTGGAGGTAGGACAGGGAATGGAGGAACTGTGCTGGGACAGGGATGGAGGAACAGCACGAGCAGAGAAGGGCCCGTGGAGCCAGCCCTGCCAGGGCAGGCGGGATGCAGAGCCCTGCCAGGAGTCCCAGGTGCCAGGGCAGGGCACCGTGGGCTCCTGCTGACGTGTCCCCACTGTCCCCACAGCCCCCCTGGACCAGCCCTGCTGCAAAGCCCTCTACGACTTCGAGCCCGAGAACGACGGCGAGCTGGGCTTCAAGGAGGGCGACATCATCACCCTGACGAACCAGATCGACGAGAACTGGTACGAGGGCATGATCCACGGCCAGTCCGGCTTCTTCCCGCTCAACTACGTGGAAGTGCTGGTGCCGCTACCTCAGTGAGCCCCGAGCGTCCCGAGCTCCATTCCAGCTCCAGCCCCGCCTCCCGCCCCGCCTCGGGGCCGGCGCTGCCAGGGAACAAACCAGAAGGGTCCCACGGCCCCTTCCCCCCGTGAAGTTGGTTATTTTCTTTTTTTTTTATTATTATTATTATTATTTTCTTTTTTTTTTTTGTCCTTCTGGTGCTTGAACTTCGGTACTTTGTGCGCCCCCAGCCCCAGCCGTGCTGCTGGCACTGCCCTGGCACTGCCCTGGCACTGCCCTGTCCCTGTCTCTCCCCACTTCCCATCTTTCCTTTGGGTCCAGCGCCCGGATGAGGCAGGTGAGAGACTGGGATGTGTCCTGGTCACACGGGTGGGCAGGTGGCACAGCCCAGGTGTGTCCTGAACACACAAATGGGGCAGGTGGCACAGCCCAGGTGTGTCCTGGGCACACGGGTGGCCCCAGGGCAGGGCAGCCCCACCCTCATGCCCCAGAAACGCTGCCCCTGATCGTGGAGGGATCCCAGAGGGATCAGGGGAGGGGAGCTGGGGCACAGCAACACTAAAACAGCCAGAGAACACTAAGGCAGCCCTGCAGGGCAGGTGCTGAGCCCTGCCTGGGGCTCGGGGCCATCCCTGGGGCTCAGAGCCATCCCTGGGGCTCAGAGCCATCCCTGCCCATCCTGAGGGACAGTCGGGGTATCCCCTGCCCCCCTGGCTCCCTCCCCACAGAGCTCAACCCCATCAGGGGGGCTGCTCCTTCTGCTCGTGGTTCTTTCCTGGACCTCAGGCTTTTCCTGCTCCAAACTCTGCCGTGTCTGTCACAGATGATCTGGAGGATCAACTGGAGGTGGGGGAGCTGGGCCACAGCCCGGGGTGTCCCTGTGCTGGGGCAGAGGTTCCTCTGCCTGTTCCCCCTTCCTGGGCATCCCTCCTGTGACTGGAGCTCACCTGGCCCTCACGTGCCTTCCCTGCACCCCACCCTGCCCCAGCAAGGCACCCCTCTGCCCCTGGGGTGCTGGGAAAAGGGATGGTTCATCTCAATGGCACTTCTGCCAGCCCTTCTCCCTCAGCTGAGCTTCTCCTGGCCAGAGGAGGGCACGGGGTTGGCACGGGGCTGCAGGGCAGTGCCTGCTGGGCTCCGTGGTTTCCCTTGCTGCAAAAGTGGGGCTGGGACGGGCCCCAGCCCTGCTGTGTGAGCCCCAGCTCTGCAGGGCTGGGGGATGAGTCCTGGGCTGTGCTCAGCACCCCTGTCCTGCTCTGTGAGCCCCAGCTCTGCAGGGCTGTGCCCAGCACCCCTGTCCTGCAGCTCTGCAGGGCTGTGCTCAGCACCCCCAGCCCTGCAGCACCCCCAGCCCTGCTCCTCCTGCTCCTGTCTCTGTAAGGATTTGGTCCGTGCATGTCCCCGTGTGTCTGACCCCGAGCAGTGACCCCGGCCCCGGGGGGGCACAGGGCAGCCCCCCCTGCTCCCAGCAGGGCAGGGAGCCCGTGGGACGGGAGTCCTGGGGGTCCTTCCCGCTGTCCCCTCCCTGCTGGGGACACTGGCTCCCGCTCAGGTGGATTGAAACGCGTTCTGTCAGCTGGGACACCTCGCTAGATCTCTTTTTTTGTTTGGTTTTGTTTTGTAATGGTTTCTCCTGGTTTTTAGGGGAAAAAAAATGATGACCCACAATTCTTGACTTGTATCTCTGAATGAAAGTATTAAATGTTTTCTTCTTTCTAACGGCTGCCTTGTGGAATCAGGGAATGGCTGGGACTGGATGGGACCTGGAAGGTCACGGGCAGGGACACCTCCCACTGTCCCAGGCTGCTCCCAGCCCTGTCCAGCCTGGCCCTGGGCACTGCCAGGGATCCAGGGACAGCCCCAGCTGCTCTGGGCACCCCAAGCCAGGGCTGCCCACCCTCCAGGCAGGAATTCCCTTGCACATCCCCTCAGTCTGGGCCATGGCAGGATGTCCCCAGCCAGCAGAGCCACCTCTCAGGAACTGCTCTTTAATCAAACTACCACTTCCACAAACCACTGACCCACGGATCCCCCCCGGCACGGCCGCCCCCGGGGCAGGGCGGGGCCGGGGGGTCGCGGGGAGCTCCGGGAGCTGCCCCGAGCCGGGGCCGGGAGAGCCCCGGGGCTGCGAGCCCCACCCGGGCTGCGGGAGGCGCCTGGTCCGAGTCGAGGGGCCCGGGGCCCTCACCCGCTGAGCCTGAGGAGGCTGAAGATCTGCTCCAGGACGTGGGTGAAGCTCTGGTCTTTGGGGGTGCGGGAGGCCAGGGAGCCCTGGGGGGGCGAACCCCACTTCGTTCCAGCACAGGGAATGGGAGCCCCCCCCCCCTCCCTTCCCAGCCCTTCCCACCTTCAGCTTGTCCAGGTAGGTCTGGTCCTGGCTCCACAGCTCCTGGAACTTCACCAGGTCGGGGGCTCCCTTATAGAACTCCACCAGCAGCGTCTGGGGGGGCACAGAGGGGCTGCAGGCCCTGGGGGTGCCCCAAAACCAGGCAGGGGGACCCCAACCCTCGGTGGCCCCGGGGGGCTGGAGAAGGGACTGCGACCATTCCTGGGGCTAAGGGCAGCATGGGGACAAGTGGTGGGGCACCAGCCTGCCCCCAAGGGGCTCGGGGGGTTTTGGGGACCCCCAGCCCCCTCTCACCATCTCCTGCACGACGTCGTTGGTGAGGAACCCGTCCTGGATGTAGGTGACCTCCACCTCCATGGGGATCCCGTAGTCGTTGGGCCGTTGCTGGGGAGGGGGGAACGGGGCAGGAGTCACTGCACAGCTCCGGGACCCAACACCACCCCGGGAGACCCCACCCCAAATTCTCTACCTCTGGCGGCGGCATCACCCAGAAGGGCGCGATTTTGGACTCCACGCCGGGGTTGCCGTGGTAGAAGGGCCCTGTGGGGACACAGGGGGCTGGCACAGGGGGGTGGCAGCAGCCCCGGCCCCCGGGGAGCCCCGGGCCGCGGGCACGTACCGCAGATGAGCCCCAGGCAGGGCTGGAAGCCGTTGCCGCTGCCCTGCAGCTTGAGCTGGTAATCCATCTGCGCGTCGATGTCGAGCAGGGACGGCAGCGCGGGCCCGAAGGGGTGGCTGTGGTACCACCCCACCAGCGACAGCCCCCGCAGGAACAGGCTCTGGCAGATCTGCGGGGGGCACAAACCGTGGCTCCAGAGCCCCCTGCCCGCCCCCCAGGCTGGACCAGCCCCTCACCTCCTCTTCCACAGCGCCCGCGGCTTCGGCGTCGCCCAGGCGGGTCCGGCACGGGAAGGCTCGAAGCACCGTCAGCACTGCGGGGACACAGGGCTGGGTGACAGCCCCGGGCCACGGCAGAGCCACCCCCACCCCCCCAAACCCCACCTACGCTGGGTGTTGGTGTCCCACCGCCCCCCCAGGTACCCCACCACTTCGCTCCGCGTCAGGTGGCTGTGGAAATCCTAAAGGAAAGGGTTAAAATCAACGGTTCAGCACTAAAACGGTGACACGAGGGACACCCCGCTGGCTGCGGGCGTCCCCAGTGCCATCAGCGATGTCCCAGCCTGGGCAGGGGACGCACCAGGAGCAGCAGGACGTTGCTGGAGATGGCCACGTTGAAGGGCTGGAATTTGTTGATGGCGGCAAAGGATGTCACCTCCACCAGGGTCTGCGGGTTCCTGGAAGAGCCACAGCCCCGCTGCCACCGCTGTCCCCGCTGTCCCCGCCCTGCTGCGCCCCGGGGTGCCGTGTCCCCTACCTGGCCGAGTCGCGGGTGCCCAGGGTGCAGTAGCGGACGGGCACGCGGGGTTTCACCTCCAGCCTTTTCCCGGCATCTGCCAAGGACAGGGTCCCGTCACCGCGGCCACTCCGCCCGGGACCCCCGGCACCCCCCGGCAGCTCACCCGTCCCCGCCGGCTCCGCCAGACCCTTGCCCTGCTGCTTCTTGCTCCTCTCCTCCGGCTTCTTGGGAGCTGCCGGCTCCGGCAGCGCCACCCGACCCTCCCTGGCCGCCTCCTCCTCCTCATCCTCGGGCAGCTCCTCCTCCTCGCCCTCGCTGGCCAAGCCCTGCGGGCAGACGGGGCTGGCACCCAGCTCGCCCCCCACGCTGGGGGTGCCAGGGGGAGGCGGCGGCGGTCGCACCTCCTCGGGGGGTGGCACGTTGGGCTGGTGCTTGCGCAGCCACGCGGCCTTGTACTGGTCCAGCTTCTGGCCCTTGTAGCGCACGGACGCCCAGCCGCAGCCCGACTTCTTGGCGGGGTTCACCAGGCGCTTGCAGTGCGTGGCCCAGGCGCTGGGCGAGTTGAACACCTGCCCCGTCTCCTGCCAGGTGATGGTCCCGTCCGAGCCCAGGTCCCCCACGAACTTCTTGCCCTGGGGACAATGGCGGGAGTCCCCTTGTCCCCATCACTTCTCCCTCAGCGCCGTCACTGTGCCACGTTCGCCATCAGTGTCCCTTGTCCTCATCCCACACCCCCTGTCCTCATCCTGTGTCCTGCTTCCTGTCCTTTTCCCTGTCCCATGTCTCCTGCCCCATGTCTGTTTCTTGTTCCCCTCCTCATCCTCAGTCCCTATTCCTGTTCCCTGTCCCTATAACTCTCCCTGTTCCCATCCCTTTTCCCAGTCCCCATTGCTCTCCCCTATCCCCATCCCTGTTCCCAGTCCCCTTCCCTCTCCCAGTCCCCTTCCCTGTCCCTTTCCCTCTCCCTGTCCCCACCCCTGTCCCCGTGTCCCCTTCCCTCTCCCCTGTCCCAATCCCTCTCCCCTCTCCCCATCCTTTTTCCCAGTCCCCATCCCTGTTCCCAGTTCCCCTTCCCTCTCCCTTGTCCCCATCCCCTCTCCCTGTCCCCACTCCTGTCCCCGTGTCCCCATCCCTCTCCCCTGTCCCTGTCCCCACCCTGTCCCCGTGTCCCCAGGCCCACCAGGTAGTAGATGGACAGGACGCCCCTGCCCGGCTCCAGGAGCCCGTCTCGGAGCAGGACCCTCAGGGTGATGCCCCTGCGGGTCAGCAGCGCCCCCCGGGCCGCCCCCGCCGCCTTCGCGCCGCCCCCGCCCTCCGGCTCGGCCTCGGCCTCGTCCAGCCCCGGCTCCAGCTCGTCCTCATCCTCCTCCAGACACTCGTCCCCGCCGGGGGAGGCGGCCGCCAGCGCTGCGGGGGGGACACGGTGTGACAGCACCCCCGGGTGTCCCCCCAGAGCACCCTCGGGTCCCCCCCTTGGTCTGTGCCTGCGGATGGGGACACGGGGACAGGGACTCACAGCGACGTGGGGACACAAGCACGGAGGGGACACGGGGACAGGAGGACTCGGGCATGGGAGGTGGGGACACGGGGGGGGGGCAATAAAGGACTGGGGACACGGGGACACGGCTGGTGGGCACAGGAACGGGCTGAGGGACGTGGGGAACCGGGCTGGGGAAGCCGAGCACACGGGGACGTGGCCGGGGACACGGGGCTGAGCAGAGCCCGGGGGTTGGCGGGGCAGGCCGGGGGTGACCCACGGCAGGTCCCCGGGGGCGGGGTGTCCCCGCCCCGCTCCTGCCCCGGGGCTGTCCCGGGATGTCCCGGGATGTCCACGCCGAGGTCCCGCGGGCGCGCGCTCGGGCAGGTGCACGCGCGTGCCCCGGCTGTCCGCGGGGGGGGGCGGGAAGCGAGTGACCGGTGCGCGTCCCCGGCCGGGGCGCGTGTCCGTGCGCGCGCGTCCGGTTCCCGGTGCGCGTCCGGTGCCGGGCGCCCGGCGTGCGCGTGCTCGGTACGTGCTCGGCGCCCGGTGCGTGCCCGGTGCCCGGTGCGTGTCCGATTCCCCGCTCCCAGTTCCCGGTTCCCGGTGCCGGTGCCCGGCGCGCCCCCGCCCCCCGGTACCTGCCATGCTCCGCTCCCGCCGCTCCCGCCTCCCCCCGGTGCGCGCGGCGGCGGCGGCGGCGACACGTGATGGGGCGGCCCCGGGCGCCCCGCCCCGCCCGGGGGGGCGAGGGGACACCGGCACCGGGGGGGGGACAGCCCCGCACCTGCAGCACCGGCGGGGGGGGACACGGGGACTCAGCCCCGCACTGACACACGGACCCCCCCACACACCCGGCGGGACCCCCGCCCGCCGCCCCTCGCCCCGGCCCCGGGAGGCGGGGGGACACCGGCACCGGAACCGGGCGGGGGGACCGGCAGGAACCTGCTGGGTTCGTCCCGGCACCTGCCGCAGCGGGCGGGGGGCGCGGGGGCTCAGCCCCGCGCCGGTCACGGACCCCCAGCCCTGCCGGGACCCCCGCCCGCCGCCCCTCGCTCCGGGAGGGGCACCGGGGACACCGGCAGCGGGAACCGGAGCCTGTCGGGGGCGCAGCCCCGCACCTGCTGCGTGGGAAGGGAGGGTCCCGGGGGCGCAGCCCGCCCCGGGGATGCCCCGGACCGGGACACGGGGACACGGGGACACCCGCCCGCCGCCCTTCGCCCCGCCCGGGCGGGGCCGGCTCGGGAGCGGCGGCGGAGATGGAGCGGCCGGTGCCGCTGCCCCGGGGGACCCGGCCCCGGGCCCGCCACTACTACGAGGGCTTCGTGGACAAGCGGGGCCCGCGGGATCAGGTGGGCGACACCGCCGGGACCGAGCCCGGTACCCCCGGGACCGATCACCGGCGGGGCCCAGCACCGGCGCCTGGGACTCGCCGGGACCGAGCGCCAGGAGCGACCCTCGGGTACCCGGGGACACCGGGGCCGCTCCGGCACTCCCAGGCACTGTCCCCTCCGGGACCGACTCCCGGTGTCCCCTCAGCCGCCCGGGGCCACCGGCTGTGCTCCCTGCGGAGCCCGGGGCCGGTTCCCTGCTCCTGGTGCCGCTGCCGGCTCCCGGTGCCGTTTCCCGGTTCCCGGTGCCTGGTTCCCGGTTCCTGGTACCGGTGCCAGCTCTCGGTGGCGTTTCCCCGTTCCCGGTGCCGTTTCCCTGTTCCTGGTGCCGTTTGTTTCCTTGTTCCCGTCCGCTTTTCCCGGTTCCCGGTTCCCGGTTCCCGGTGCCGGTGCCGAGCCCGTCCCTCCCCGCAGGGCTACCGGAGGCTCTGGGCCGGGCTGCGGGGGCTCCATCTCGCCTTCTACAGGGGGCCCCAGGACCGCGAGGTACCGGGGCTCCTCCGGGCGGGACCCCCGGGGCTGGAGACACCCCCGGGCTGGGGCCCCTCAGGGTGGGACCCCCAGGACAAGAACCTTCGGGTGGGACTGGGGGGGCTCCCCCAGGCCGGGACCTCTGGGACCCCCCAGATTGGGACCCCCCGTCCTGCCTGGGCCCTGGAGATGCCCCTGGGCAGGGTCCCCTCAGGGTGGGACCCCTGTGCCCCCTCCCCGTGGGGAGAAACCCCCCGGATTGGGGACCCGTCCCCATGAACCCCCCTGGGCACGGGCCCCCGAGAACGGCACCTTCAGGTGACACTGGGGGGACCCCGGCTGAGGTGGGGTGTCCCTGGGCCGGGGTCCCACCCTTGGGTGCCCCCAGCCCCTGGAGCTGCTGGACCTGGGCGAGCTGGTGACGGTGCAGGCCAAGGACGGGGCGCTCGTCCTCAGGCTGAGGGGACAGGAGGTGACAATGAAGGTGAGGGGGGGCAATGGGGGGCTGGGGGTACCCGGGGGCAGTGGGGGTACCTGGAGGGGGGATCTGGGGGTACAGAGGGGACAGGATTTCAGGACTGGGGGGACAAGGGGACTGGGTTTTGGGACAGGGACCACAGGGGGGCACTGGGGAGGGAAAGGGAAGGGTTTAGGGACACAGAGGGGACAGGATTTTGGGACTGGGGAGGCTGGAGGGCAGAGGGGGAAGGATTTGGGGGTGCAGGGGATGCACTGGGCTGTGGGGGGCACAAGGGACAGGGGACAGGCCACCCTCACGTCCCTGTGTCCCCTGGCAGACGGAGAGCTGGGAGACGCAGGAGATGTGGCGGGGATTCATCCTGACCATGGCCAAGGTGGGCGCGGGGCGCTGCCCGGGGGTCCCGGCGTGACAGGGACCCCTCTGTGCCACCACCCCCGTGTCCCCCCCGCAGATGAAGATACCCCGGGACCTGGCGCTGCTGCCCGGACACACCTTCCAGCTGCTGCAGGCTCTGCGGGAGGAGCAGGAGCGCAGGGACAGCGCCGTGTCCCCCGCGGCCACCTCCGTGTCCCCCCCGGCCACCTCCGTGTCCCCCCCGGCCACTTCCGTGTCCCCGGTCACCCCCGTGACCCCGGTCACCCCCGTGTCCCCAACCACCGCCGTGTCCCCTGTCACCCCCGTGTCCCCCAGCCCCTCTGAGCCGTGAGTCGGGGGTCTCGGGGGCTGGGGGGGGGTCCCCATCCTCGCTGGGGCCCAGCTGGGGGTGGCGGGGCAGGGCTGGGGGTGACAGCGGGGGGGTCCCCAGGGTCCCCAGCTGCTTTTTGCAGGTGACGCGTGCCGAGGCCGAGCGGCTGCTGGAGCAGAGCGCGGGCCGGGGGAACCTGCTGCTGCGGCCCGGGGGACACGGCCAGGGCGTCTCGGTCACCACGCGCCAGGAGCGGGGCGGGTCCGTGCCAGGGGACACCGGGGGACAGCGGGGGACACCGGGGGGGTCACCGCGGGAGGGGTGTCCCCAAGGGGAGGGGTCCTGTGCGAGGGCAGGCTCAGTGCCCACGGGGTGGGGGGTCCCAGGGTGAGGGGGATCCCTCGGGGGGGGTCCCCGTTCGGTGGGTGGCTCCAGGGGGAAGGTCCCCGTGCCAGGGGGGTCCCGCGGGGGGTGAGTGCCCCACGAGGGGGTCCCCAGCTCCTGAGGCAGCCCCCCCCTCCCGCAGGACAGCGCTGCTGAGGCACTACAGGGTGAAGAGAGAGGCCCAGGGCTACGTCATCGACCTGGAGACCCCGGTGGGTGACATGCGACAGGCGGGGCTGGCCCTGGGGACAGGGACCCCCACCCCGGGCACCCCCCTGAGCCCCCCGGGGGGGGAGCCTTGGGGTCACCCGAGGGACTGGCACCGCGTGGGCTGTGCCACCCCGGGGCTGGGCACCCCCAGGGAGCCCCGGGAGCACCCAAGGGTGCCACCAAGGGGCGGGGGTCCCCCGAGAGCTGCGGCTCCAGGAACTGCGACCCCCCAAAAGAGGGGACAGGGAACCGCTCAGGTTTGGGATCCCCGGGAACTGCGACCCCCAAGAGACTGGGACCCCCCAAAGGGCTGCAGCCAAGGGGGTGGGACCCCCAAAGGAGCGGGGGGCAGGGGATGGGGGGCGCGGGGGGTCCCCGAGTGACGCCGGGCGTGTCCCCAGCACCGCTGCTCGTCGCTGGCGGAGGTGGCGCAGTTCTTCGTGCGGAGCAGCGCGGGCAGCCTGCGGCCCCTGGAGCCCGAGTACAGCGCGCAGCTGGGTGGGCAGCGGGCCGCTCGGAGGGGTCTGGGGGTGTCGGGTGCAGACGGAGGGTCCGTGACCCCCCCCGCCCTGCCCCAGAGTTCGTGCCGATGAACGGGGACCCCTCCCCAGCTGCGGCCACTCCCAGGGCGGCCCCGAGGCGGGGCAGGAGCCCCCCCGGGCTGGGGCTGGTGCCCGAGGAGCAGCTCTACATGAACGACCCCGGTGAGGCCGCCCGGGACCGCGGGAACGGGGCCGGGAGGGGAGGGGGCACCCCCGCACCCAGCCCCCCCGGCCCCGCTGTCACCCCCAGCACAACGAGGGGACAGGGGGGGTGCCAGCACGGGGACACCGGGTCCTGTCCCCGGCTCGGGGGGCAGTGGGGAGGAGCAGGGGGGTCCTGGGGGGGGCAGGGGGAGGGGGATTCTCTGCCGGGCACTCACAGCCCCCCCCCCCCCGGCACAGGGAGGACCCAGGAGCTGCTCCGGGAGCTGCACTGGAAGCTGCAGCAGCGCCAGGCTCAGTGATGGGGACACCCCGGGGTGCCCCCCTGTCCCCCCTCCCCTCAGGAAAGCTGTCCCCAGTGTCCCCTGGGGTGACACCGGGGAGGGGGGGAACCCCCTCATGTTTGGGGGGGCGCTGTAAATAAAGAACCCTGTGCCCACCCAGCCCTCTCCTGCTCCTGGCACCGTGGGGGTGCCACAGAGACCCCCAAAGTCCCCCCCGTGCCCCACGCACGGCCAGCACGTCACACCTCATCCCAATTTATTCTCCAGGCCAGAAGCAGCTCTCGGTGCTGGGGGGGCACGGAGTGGGGGGGCCGTGGGCAGCCCCGGGGGGCGGCAGAGCCCGCTGGGCAGCGCTGGGGGGGCACGGGGGGTACATTCAGTGCTGTGCCCGGCTCAGGGCAGGCTGGAGCTGCTGGCCGTGCTGTTGCGCTTCTGCAGGCAGCGCACGGCGCTGGGCACCTGCAAGCCCGACGTCACCTGGAAGCTGCCACACCACACCTGCGGGCACGGCGCGGGCTCAGGGGGCGGCGCTGGCACCCCCCGGGACCCCCAGCCCTGCCCCCCTTACCATGAAGGCCGGCAGCACCGGCTGAGAGAACTTGGCCTTGAAGGTGTGGAGCAGCTGCTTGGTGCGGGCGTTGTAGAAGGACAGGAAACCTGGGGGTGGGGGCACGGGTGGGCACGGGGCGGGCACAGCCCTGGCACGGTGCCCGGGGGGTGACAATAGCCACGGTGGGGACAACGGTGGAGGTTGGTGTCCATGTTGGATGATGGACATGCTGCTGTTCATGGAGGTGGCAATGCCCACACTGGTGCCCACGGAGGTGACAATTGCCTTGGTGGTGGCAGTGGAGGTGCCAGTGCCCATGGAGGTGCCCATGCCCATGGAGGTGTCAGTGCCCAGGAAGGTGCCAATGCCCATGGAGGTTTCAATGCCCAGGGAGGTGTCAATGCCCAGGGACGTGCCAATGCCCATGGAGGTTTCAATGCCATGGTGGTGACAACGCCCAGGGAGGTGCCCATGCCCATGGAGGTGCCCATGCCCATGGAGGTTTCAATGCCCAGGGAAGTGCCCATGCCCAGGGAGGTGCCAATGCCCATAGAGGTGCCAGTGCCCATGGAGGTTTCAACACCCAGAGAGGTGTCAATGCCCAGGGACGTGCCAATGCCCAGGAAGGTGCCCATGCCCAGGAAGGTGCCACCCCAGCCCATCCCAGCCCAGCCCAGCCCACCTTCGTGGAAGTTGCAGTGCACGCCGATGCAGTCGGGCACGGGCACGTCGAGCGCCTTGGCCTTGTTGTTGTGCTTGGCGCTGAAGCTGACCTGCAGCCAGTTGTTGAGGTGCAGGCACCAGGACGCGGGGGTCTTGCCCAGCTGGTCGAACTTGCCCAGGCTGCGGTAGGCCACGCCCACGCCGAAGGCTTTGCTGTCGCGGTCGTAGCGCACCTCCCAGTAGTGCTCGTCCCCGTCGATCAGCGTGTCCCCTGGGGCACGGCCACGGCTCTGCCCGGGCACCGCGCCCTGCCCCGCGCCGTGCCCACCCCGCCGCGGGTGGGCCCTGCCCCGCTGAACCGGCCCCTGTGCTCTGTTCACTCTGTGCCCCCTCCTCACCCACACCCCTGCGTGCCCAAACCCCCACACCCCTGGGTGCCCAAACCCCCCACCCCAGATGCCCCAGTGCCCCACATCCCCAGGTGCCCAAACCCCCCAGCCCTGGGTGTCCCAGCCTCCCACACCTCCGGGTGCCCCTCTCACCCCCACCCCGGGTGCCCAAACCCGCAGCCCAGGGTGCCCAAACCCCATCCAGGTGCCCAAACCCCAGAGCCCAGGTGCCCAACCCCAGAGCCCAGGTGCCCAAACCCCACCTAGGATGCCCAAACCCCATCCAGGTGCCCAAACCCCACCTAGGATGCCGAAACCCCCAGCCCGGGTGCCCAAACCCCCAGCCAGGGTGCCCAAACCCCCAGCCAGGGTGCCCCCTCACCCAGCACCGTGTAGGACTCTGCGGTGAAGCGGTCGCGGCCCCCGCGGCCCAGGGACATCCTCTTGGGGGACTGCACCACCCTGGCACACAGGGACAGGGCAGGGTTGGCACTGCCCGGCCCGGGGGCCGCGCGGGGGGCCCGGGGGTGGCGTTACCTGGCAGGGGAGTTGGCAGGGGAGGCCGTCCTGCCCTTGCCATCCTTCTCACGGGCCTTGACGTCCTGCAGCTTCCCGCCCGTGGCGTCCCACTCCACGCTCAGCTCCTCCACCCGCAGGTTCTGGTGGCACGTGCTGGCGTCCAGCCGGAACACGAAGGCTGGGGACAGCCCCTGTCAGCAGTGCCCCGGCCCCCCCTGCCCGGCCAGCGCCCCGCAGGGCTGGCACGGGGGGCACACGGGCACCTGCCACCCCCAGCACCCACCTCTGGTCTCCAAAGTGACCGGCTCGGAGAAGTCGCCCGCCACCGCCTTGTTGCACGCCCGCACCCGAAAATTCATGTACTTCATGTCAAACTTCAGCCCTGTGGGCACGGCGGGGGCACGGGCTGTGGCACCGGGAGGGCACTGCCACCCCCGTGTCCCCTGCAGAGCCTGGGACAGCCCCAGCGCCCGGCTGCACCCCGTGCCCTCACCAGTGAGGGTGTACTCGGTGCCCTTGATGCCCTCGACCACCATCCAGGGCTGGTCCTCCTTGGCACGGGGGGGCCCCTCGAAGTTGGTCCTGCGGTACTCCAGCACGTAGTGGTCGATCTTGCTGTCCTCGTCGGGCATCCTCCAGGCCAGGGTCACACAGTTATCGGCCACCAGCGACTCCGCCAGGTCGATCTCGGGGGCGCTGGGCACTGCCCGCAGGAGCAGCCGTGCCAGTGTCCCCCCTCCCTGCCACACAGGGGCCCCCCAGCACTCCCGGGCACCCCCAGGGCTCCCCCACACCCCACGGGCTCGGCAAGTCACCGACCTCAAGCGTGCCACCCGTGGGACCCCTGGGGACCCCACCCGTGGCACCCACCCAGAGACCCCCACTGCCCCCCTGGGCACAGCACCCAAACCCCTCATCCCTACCCCCATCCCTGGCACCTCCCTGCCCCTCTGGGAAGGCACCCCTGGCCTGGCACTGCCCCATCCCGTGGTGCCCTGCCCCGGTGCCAGGCTGGCCCTGCCCTGTGCCCCCGTGCCCCCCTGCCCTGGCAGTACCTGGCAGGAAGGCCAGGGCCTGCAGCAGGCGCCGCTCCTGGGCGAAATCCACCATCAGGTGGCTCATGTTGTCACTGACCTTGGCCTTGAGCGACAGGCGGAAGGCCGGAGCCATCGTCACACTGTGCCAGGACAGGGACAGGGCTCAGCGGGGGTGGGCACCTCCCTGCCCTGCGTGGCCCTGGGGAGGGTGGGCACAGCCACCCCACAGCCACAGGGCCACCCCAGCACCCTCGGGACCACCCCAGCACCCTGGGACCACCCCTGCGGGGCCCTGGCTGGGGGGAGGAGGAGGAGGAGGAGGAGGAGGAGGAGGAGGGGTTAGTGGGCGGGGGGGTCGGGAGGCCGTACCTCTCCTTGAGCTGTTTGGCCGCCTTG